GCCTGAGTGGCTTAGTTGGTTGAGCATCAGACTCTTGATTTTGGCTCAGGTCATGATCTCAGGGTTATGAGATCCAGCCTGGAGTTGGGCTCTGCACTCAGCAGGGAGTCTGCTGGACAGCCAATCCTCTCTCTCTCTCTCTCTCTCTCTCTCCCTCTGCCCCTCCCCCTGCTCATGCGTCCACCTGTCCATGCACTCTCTCTCTCTCAAATAAATAATTTTTTAAAAAATCCATAACTTGAAGCTAATCATGAGGAAGGACCATGTAACTGGCCTGGACTCTCCAAAAATGTCAATGTCTTGAAAAACAAAAGCTAATTAACAGTTCCATGTTAAGAGAGATTAAAGAGGGGTGCCTGGGTGGCTCAGATGGTTGAGTGTCTGCCTTTGGCTCAGGTTATGATCTCCAGGTGGTGGGAGCCCCACTTTCTGCTTCCGGCTCAGCATGGAGTCTGCTTCTTCCCCTCCCTCTGACCCCCTGCTGTGTTCTGTCTCTCCTTCTCTCGAATAAATAAAAAAAAATCTTAAAAAAAAAAAGAGAGAGATTAAAGACATCTCAATAGATGGATAAAAAGTGTTTGATAACCTTTCTGCCCGTGGACGCCGCCGAGTAAGCATCGTTAAAGTCTCCCCTCCCACCGCCGTCATGTCTAAGTCAGAGTCTCCTAAAGAGCCTGAACAGCTGCGGAAGCTCTTCATCGGAGGTCTGAGCTTTGAAACAACCGATGAGAGTCTGAGGAGCCATTTTGAGCAATGGGGAACACTTACGGACTGTGTGGTAATGAGAGACCCAAACACCAAGCGCTCCAGAGGCTTTGGGTTTGTCACATATGCCACTGTGGAGGAGGTGGATGCAGCCATGAATGCAAGGCCACACAAGGTGGATGGAAGAGTTGTGGAACCAAAGAGGGCTGTCTCAAGAGAAGATTCTCAAAGACCTGGTGCCCACTTAACTGTGAAAAAGATTTTTGTTGGTGGCATTAAAGAAGACACTGAAGAACATCATCTAAGAGATTATTTCGAACAGTATGGGAAAATCGAAGTGATTGAGATCATGACTGACCGAGGCAGTGGCAAAAAGAGGGGTTTTGCTTTTGTAACATTTGATGACCATGATTCTGTAGACAAGATTGTCATTCAAAAATACCATACTGTGAATGGCCACAACTGTGAAGTAAGGAAAGCGCTCTCTAAGCAAGAGATGGCTAGTGCTTCATCCAGCCAAAGAGGTCGAAGTGGTTCTGGAAACTTTGGTGGTGGTCGTGGAGGTGGTTTTGGTGGGAATGACAACTTTGGTCGCGGAGGAAACTTCAGTGGTCGAGGTGGCTTTGGTGGCAGTCGAGGTGGTGGTGGATATGGTGGCAGTGGGGATGGCTATAACGGATTTGGTAATGATGGAAGCAACTTTGGAGGTGGCGGAAGCTATAATGATTTTGGCAATTACAACAATCAATCCTCAAATTTTGGACCCATGAAAGGAGGCAATTTTGGAGGCAGAAGCTCTGGCCCTTATGGTGGTGGAGGCCAGTACTTCGCCAAACCACGAAACCAAGGTGGCTATGGTGGTTCCAGCAGCAGCAGCAGCTACGGCAGTGGCAGAAGGTTTTAATTACTGCCAGGAAACAAAGCTTAGCAGGAGAGGAGAGCCAGAGAAGTGACAGGGAAGCTACAGGTTACAACAGATTTGTGAACTCAGCCAAGCACAGTGGTGGCAGGGCCTAGCTGCTACAAAGAAGACATGTTTTAGACAATACTCATGTGTATGGGCAAAAAAAACTCGAGGACTGTATTTGTGACTAATTGTATAACAGGTTATTTTAGTTTCTGTTCTGTGGAAAGTGTAAAGCATTCCAACAAAGGGTTTTAATGTAGATTTTTTTTTTGCACCCATGCTGTTGATTGCTAAATGTAATAGTCTGATCATGACGCTGAATAAATGTGTCTTTTTAAAAAAAAAAAAAAAAAAAAAAAAAAAAAAAAGTGTTTGATAAAACCCAACATCCTTTCATAATAAAAACACTTAACCAGGAATAGATCTTCTTTAAGCTGATAAAGGGCATCCAAGAAAAACCCACAGCTACTATCATATTTAAGGTTGAATGACTGAGCTTTCGCCATACGTTCAGGAGCAAGACAAGGGTGTCTGCTTTTACTACTACTTTTTTTTTTTTTAAGATTTATTTATTTATTTATTACAGGGAATGCGTAAGACAGCAAGCAAATGCGGGAGGGGGGTGGGAGGGAGAGGCGGAGAGAGGGGAGGCAGCGCAGGCGGAGAAGGAGGGAGAGGCTCTCAAAGCAGACTCCCCGTTAAACATGGACCATCATGGGGCTCTACAAGAGGCTCCATCCCAGAACCCTGAGATCATGACCTGAGTCAAAATCAAGATTCAGACATTCAACTGACTGAGCCACCCAGGTTGCCCCCGCTTTTACTACTTCTATTTGATGTACTGGAGGGCAATGTTGCCCAGGCAACAGAATGAATGAATGAATGAAACCCAGATTGAGGGGTGCCCAGGTGGTTCAGTGGGTTAAAGCCTCTGCCTTCAGCTCAGGTCATGATCCCAGGGTCCTAGGATCGAGCCCCGCATCAGGCTCTCTGCTAAGCAGGGAGCCTGCTTCCTCCTCTCTCCTCGCTCTCTGCCTGCCTCTCTGCCTACTTGTGATCTGTCAAATAAATAAATAAAATCTTTTTTTAAAAAAAGAAACCCAGATTGAGAAGAAAGAAGTTAAACTATCTCTATTGGCAGATAACATGATCTTTCATATAGAAAATCTTAAAATATACATAAATAAACTATTAGTTAATAAATGAGTTCAGTAATGTTCCTGGAAGTAAGATCAATACACAAAAATCAATTGAAGGCCGCCTGGGTTGTGGTGATGGCTGCACAACAATGGAAATGTGCTTACTGCCCCCCCAACTACAGATTTCAAATGCTTAAATGGTAATTTTTTTGTTTTGTTGTTGCTTTTTTTTTTTACACCCCCTCCACACACACACACACAAATTAAAGAAACATGATAACTTTAGATTGACTGGTGGACCAGAAAAAAATTCCTGTAAAGGACATTATTGGGATCACTGACAAAATTTGAATATAGATTGTAAATTAGGTAACAGTATTAAATCAATGTTAAAATGTTTCTGATTTTGACAAATGCACTATGGATTTGGAAAAGAATCTCCTTTTCAGGAGATACTTACTGAAGTATTTCCAGGTAAAAAGGTAATAAAGAATGCAAGTTACTCTCAAATGATGTTGGCAGGGGCAAGATATCCACACATACACATAAACACACAGAAGAGGATATAATAAAGCCAAATGTTAACAATTGGAGAGTATGGATGAACTCTTAGAATAAAGGCATAGGTACCATACAAAGTCTGAAATTATTTCAAAGTTAACTGTTTTTAAAAAAAAAATTAACAGGTCCAAAACAGAGCTCTGATCTCACTTCAAACCTACTCCTTCCATAGTAGACCCATGTTAGAAAGTGGCAGCTCTCCCTCTCCCACCACTCACACCAAAACCCTTGGAGTCAACCTCAACTCTGTTCTTTCACACACATTCCAATCCATGTGCAAATCCTATTGGATGCAACTTCAGAATATTTCCAGAACCCCACCCCCTTCTCGCCCGCCCCCCTGCTATCACACTAGTCTGAACACTTGCTGGAAAGCTCCTCTCTGGTCTCACCCAGAGGGATTCAGTTAATACATAAGCCACACCATGCCATCCTTCTGCTCAGAACTCTGATGTCTCATGGTGGCCTACAAGGCGCCCCGGGCTACGTCCCCACTGCTTCTTAGAGCTCATCTCCCAACCTTCTCCCCAGTCACACTCCCCTCTGGCTGCTCCTAGACCAGGAGTTGGCAAACTCTCCCTACCTGCCTCAAACACTCCCTGGGCATGACTTCTGGTTGTCCCAATGTCACAGGAGGCACCCTCCTCTCTCTCTTTAGTAACTCTGCTTTATTCTCCTTCAAGGAACTCATTTCTCTCTCCAAGCCATGGAGCTACTCCTTCATCACAGTTCCCTCACAAAAACTGCTTCCCCGGGGTGACTACTTTAGTGCAATGCTGTTTCCCCAGCGCCCAACACAGTGCCCCGCACCTAAGATGTCAGTTCGTATTGACAAGAGTAAGTAACTGGGTGTTGGAAGGTCTGCACTGCTCCACAGTGGGCTGGGGGTGGGGGAGGGACAGGGAAGCCTGCCTGGAGTCCAGGTGGGTAGGGTGTTCCTTCAAGGGTCAAAGTGATGGACAGGACCTGATGCAGAATGGGGGAGTGGGGGGAGGGGGTCTGTCCTCTCTGACTCCCTCTTCTGACTAATGCCAACAAGAGTGGGTAAGGGGTGCTGCCACCCTGAGGAGGCCCCAGGCTCCCCCAGCCCCTGCCCCTCTCACTGGCCCCCAGGGTGCTACTTGGCTCTTTCTGGCCACTCTTTTTTCCTGAATCTTCACCATCACCCTCCCATTTTATGGGAAACTGACACCAGCAGGAAAGGACAGTGATCTGGCCAAGGTGGGCTGTCCCTAGCATAGTCCTCCTACCGAAGCCCCACGTGAGCCCCCACACCAGCAGGGACCTGAATGACCCTTCACATGAGGATGGCGGAGCCATCTGACATGCCTTCTTTTGGACTGATGAAAAAAGCCATACTTGGCCTAATGGAAGAAAGCCCTCCCAGGGGAATGGGCCAGTCAGTGGAGGCCTCTGGGGGAAAGATGGGGGGAGGGCCTGAGAACTGGAGAATGCCCCTAGGTGTTCTGCCTGCCTCACTCGGAGGAAGGGGCAGCCCAGATAAATCCCCCTCCCCTAACAATCAAGAGCGAGCGGTCCCAGAGTTGCTCCGCATCACCTCCCCTGCCTACTCAGGGAAGACGCCCCCGCCGCCAGCCAGTGGGTCAAGGCCAAATAAGGCTGCGCCAGCGTACAGCCCGCCCCGCCCCGCCGCGCGCATTCTTCTGCCTTGTAAGGCCCGTGCCGCCCCTCCCACTGAGCCCGGAGCGGACCGACAGCCCGCCGCCCCGCACCGGCTCCGCACATCGAGAGAGCTCCTTCTCCACACCAGGTGGGAGTCGCGGCCGCGGGGGAGCTAGACGAGGCGGTGTGACGGCCCCACAGACAGGGACGCCCGAGGGGCTCAGCGAGGGCAGCCCTCATAGGGCTGGGGCTGCGAGTTGCGGGGCAGACGGGGACTCTGGCAGCAGGGAAACGGTTCCAGGCTGCGGGAGCCACTGGTCCTTTGGCGAGGTAACTCTGCCGGGCCCTGCCCCTTTATTATGGAGTTTCAGAGCCAAACCCAGAGCTCTGGGGGGTCCAGAAGGAGGGGAGGGGGGATGTGGTCGTCGGTGTTCCCTGCCCCAGTAAAACCATGTGTGTCAGACTGGAAACGGAGCCATGTAAGGCTACTGGAGACTCCTCCAGAACTCCTGGGGCAGAAGAGAGGGATGGAGACGGGAGAAAATCCGTCCCTCCACACACCCCGACGCTGTGTGCGTGCACTTGGGGGTTCTACGCACTCCAACATCCGCCCAAATAAGCCTGTTGGGTGGAGAGGGTCTGCCAAGGGCTCTGGGGGCTGCACAGGGACCTGGGCTGGGGGACCCCGGACTCTCTACTCCCCCCTCTCCAGCCCTGCAGCTGCCCTGAGGAATGAGTCAGATAACTCAGCCACAGAGAAGGTGATTTTACTAGCAAGGCATCGGGCACTACCAGCCATAGGGACGAGATAATGGGGGGACACAGGCCTTGTCTTTGCTGTTATGGGGGGATTTCAAACACCAGAAGGGGGGAGGTGGCACCTAGTTGCAGCCAAACACTAGTTATATCTGATCCCTAGTGTCTAGGACCTCCAGGAGCAGGAGGGGATGGCTCTAGGGCTAAGGACCTAGCCTGCCTCTGACCCCTTTTTCTCGACCAAGCCTGGAAGCTGCCTCTGGTCACAGAGAGCCCTCAACTGCAGCAGGCCCACCACAAGCCTCTCAGGATGTGTGTTTCTGTGTTCAGGCATCAGGGGTGCCAAGGGCTGGCCATTACCACCCACTGACCCAAGCCTAGCCCAAGCTGTTGCTCTCTATCCCTCTCGTGGGCATGCCACTTCCCTTCTTGGGCATCACTTCTTAAACTGCACAGTCAGGTGGGGGAGGGAGTGCCCTCACCCCGCTTCCCGGACTGCTGGGATGGACAAATCCTGAAGTTCAGTGCTTTCAGCCACCATATGGCTTTGGGATCAAAGAGGGTGGGGAAGGGGGAGGCCATGAAGACAGAAGAGCCTAGCCAGTATCCCAGCAGTGGGTGAGGTCCTAGCCATTCCTGCTTCCGGCTGCAGCTTCCTCTGTTCTCCAGGCTGTGTCTGCCCCAGAGCTGTGCAGACAGGATGGGGTTGGCAATAGTGATGATAACCATCACAGCCTCTCATGGCCACGGACTACTTCTTGGCTGCCTTCCGTCAGTGCCATGAGTCCAAGTTCCCAGTGAACAACAGGCTCAGGGAAGGACTGAGGCCCTCAAAGCACAAAACCCCTGCTGATGCCACCATCCCACACCGACCCAGGTCAGGTGAGAAGGGCTTTTGTCTACCCACCCCGAGCCACATGAGAATCACCCAGGGCCAGGTGTGTCAGGCCAGAGGCACACAGCAGCCCGTGTGTCATGCCTACAGGCAGGTGTGGCCCTGGGGAAGGGTCGGGACTGGCCAGGATCCCTGCTCAGGGTTTAAGAGCTCAAAGACCACAGTCTGAGAATGACTGGAACAGAGTCATGGGATAAAGGCCTGGCAACATTCAGGGCTAAAAACAGGCAGAGGCTTCCTGGAAGCCCTCAACCAAGGGCAGAGGAGAAAGGGGGACAGTAGTCCTGGGGCCTCAGCCACACGCACAACTGCCCCAGCTGAAGGGAATACAGCTCTATGTCTTCAGGGGAAGAGTCCTCACAGGCCATAACAGGTTCAGGGAAAGAGCACCTTGCTGGGCCTCAGTTTCCCCATCTGTGCAGTGGGGGCAATAACCTGGCTGTAGTTGCCCTCACAGCCATTCATTAAACAACCATCTATTAGCCTGTTGGTAAATCAGGGGAGGGAGAGAAAGACCTCTAAGTCCTTACTGTCAGAGCAAGGGTGTGGGAACTGCTCCCCAAGGGGGTGTCTCAAGAACTAGGCTGGAAAAGGAAGGGTGTTCGGGGTGGGGGTGACCAAGAAGGAAAGTCTGGGGTTGTCTGGGAAATATCCAGAGGTCCAGCATGGCAGAATCACAGGCAGCTAGAGGAACACAGTGAAGGGTACCATGGTCAGTCAGAGCAAAAGGTCGGAGGGGTTCACACAGGGTCCTGAATGCTAGGCTCAGGGGCCTACTTGTTCCAGGAACTTTCAAGGGCTTCAAGGTGAAATGACAGGTGGTTCAGGTCTGGGTCTCTATAGGTTGGGAGAGACTGGCTGGAAGCTAGGAGGCCAGATCTAGACAAGGGTGACAAGAAGCTGGGTCTCCCAGCCCAGGGGAGCCTCATGCCCCTATAAGCATGGCAGAGTGAGAACAAATCAGGTCTATCACCCACCTAAAGTACGGTGCTAGTTAAATGTGGGCAGGTTGGGGGAGGGGAGACTGCCCAGAGCATATGCCTTCTAGAACATCCAGAGCCTGGAACACAGAGGGATGGGGAGGAGGGAGCAGGAGGAGGAGATGACAAGAATGTCAGGAATGCAGGGCCACTGATCCAGCTCCTTGCTGCTGGGGGCAGAGGGAGCTGGCAGAAACCTCACAGCCTCCCACTTTTCAGCCCACCTTCTCAGTTGGAGGGAGAGAGATGGACAGTGTAAATGCTATAAAGAATTAAAAGAGAGAAAGCGAGGACAGGTTGGCACAGAATCCAATCCTAAGTGTCTTACCCAAACAGCCACAGCAAAAATAGCTTACTTTGTGCCTGGCACCATTCCAGGGGCTTCTCGGGCACGAATTATTCCCTGCTGCTGGGCATTCCTCATGTCCCCATTCCCAGATGAGGAAACTCATTCAGAGAGGTAGAGAAGTTGTTTATGATCGCAGAGCCCACGCCTGTCTGCTTTTGTGATGAGCTGGGTGACAGGAGCCCCAAGCCTATGGGAGGCCTTGAATGCCAGGTCCAGGCACTGAAAGCCAGGCTTTAAGTAGGCAGGAAGATCCCCTGGCCCAGGGCTCTAGGCTCTTCCCCCCACACCCACTTCCTGCAGGGAAGCCCCACCCACCTGAAGCCAAGATGTCCAGTAAGCGGGCCAAGGCCAAAACCACCAAGAAGCGGCCACAGAGGGCCACATCGAATGTCTTCGCGATGTTTGACCAGTCCCAGATCCAAGAGTTTAAGGAGGCCTTCAACATGATTGACCAAAACCGAGATGGCTTCATCGACAAGGAAGACTTGCATGACATGCTGGCCTCACTGGGTGAGCAGGGATGGGGTGGCTGGGGTCTAAGTGGGTCCCGCGAGGGTTGCAACTGGAACAGGCAGTGGGCTGCTCATCGCATATAGAGTCCTTTCCATGTAGGGACATGTGGTACCTACCCTGGCAAGCAGATGCCCGTACTTTCTCCATTTAACAGATAGGTAAACTGAGGCGTGGAGCAGTTGGGCACTGGATCTGAACCCAGACAGGCTCACTCCGGAGCCAGACTGCCTCAGGCAGATTTGTGGTTGGGCTGCCTGGTTCCACTTCATTTAAAGAAAAGGATGAGTGACTAAAGAAAGTTGGAACTGCACAGACCTTCCATTGTGCAGATGGAGAACTGAGGCTGGAGGGGAGGCCAGAGTGCCTCCCTCGGTTAGAAGTCACTCATACCAGGTCCTTAGAGCCTCTCTGACTCCGGCCACTTCCCTAGAATCAGAATCTTAGAGCTGAAAGGGCTCAGGAACCTGCTCAGATGGGGAACCCCACCCCCAGTCTGTGGGCCTACCCCCATATCCCTCCCCTGTGCTCATCACAGATACCACCCCGACCCCCAGTTTCTGGCAGACCCTTCAACCAGATGAGACACTGGCTGGGAGAGAGAAGCCTCTGGCAAAAGAGGAAGCAGCCTGTGCTCGTCAAGCCCCAAGCACTGAGGCCAGACAGGCCTGAGGGAGTCCCTGGCCCTGCCCCTCACAGTGGGGCCACCCTACTCTGCCCATTTCCCTTCCTGTGCAATGGTGACCAAGGCCCTCATGTACACGCCCAGGAAGTCCAGTGGGAGGACTGGGCAACCCTGAGTTGGGGGGCTGACGTGGGACCCTGGGCTTCCATCCAGAAAAACTTTCATTCCCGTTTGTAGCTCTTGTTGGTGGGGCCGCAGGTCAGGCGTGGCCTTCTGGTAGGAACATCAACCCCAGTTAACAAGCAAGAGCAGCACGAGTGTCTTAAATCTCCCAGCTATCCTGCAACACAGATGTGACTGGGGCATTGCAGTGACCTCGCAGCATGGCGAAAGTTAACGCAGACAGGCAGACGGGGCCGCAGATGCCGCAGGCAGTCAGTACGCGGCAGCCCTCACACCCCGGAGGGCATGGATATCAGGACCAGAGGCCTTAACTGGTCAAAGCAGCCTGGAGAGCCCGTGGGAGGGAGCAGTCAGAACGCTGGCCAGACGCTCTACAGTTTACAGAGCTTATCGTCTCCTGCCTGTGGGATTCTCACAGGCCAGGAAGGGATGGGGCAGGGAGGAGGGAGGGGACAGTGTAGTAACAGCAGGAATGTCCCACTTGCCACAGGGAAGAACCCCACCGACGAGTACCTTGAGGGCATGATGAGTGAGGCCCCGGGGCCCATCAACTTCACCATGTTTCTCACCATGTTTGGGGAGAAGCTGAACGGCACAGACCCTGAGGACGTGATCCGAAATGCCTTCGCCTGCTTCGATGAGGAGGCCTCAGGTCAGCAGCCTCCTGCTGGAGGCCTGGACAGGGCTGGGGCTGAGTATTTTACCCAAGGCGTCCCCAAGGATGCAAGTGGGGCTGCGCTGGGACTTCAGGGCCCCTGTCCCCAAAAGCCAGAACAGAAATCCCCCATCTGTTGGGATTTCCATCGCTGCAACTAGAAAAACTAAGATGTGTCCTTGTTCCCTTCCCCCAGACGCTAGACCACAACAGCCCATATCCACCAAGGCTTCCCACGTTTACCTGTTGGCCCAGCACAATGCCCCCATTTTAGACCCCCTCCAGAAACCAAATCATTCCAGGCCCTTCTGGCCAGTAAGGTGCAAAAACCAGCCCCCATCCTCAGACCTCACAAAGGACTTCTGTCCCACAGCTGGTCTGTCCCAGAGACAGGCCAGAGTGACCCTGGCACCAATTTCAGAAGTTTCTCAGTGCCCACAGGCCCAATCAGAACATCTTCCTGACCACCTTCATGGTCCCCTACCAGGGTGGCATATTTTCATCTCTATTTTCCAGATCAAACAGGCACAGAGAGGTTAAATAACTTGCCTATGGTCACACAGCCAAGAAAGGGGATGAGCATGCAAACTCGGGCAGTGGAACTCTAGGGCTCAGGTCAAAGTAAGACATATCCAGCCCGCACACTCACAGGCCCAAGGACCCCACTGAAACACCGCAGAACCCCTCCCTCTGGGGCCCTGAAGAGTTGAACTAGCCAGAGACTCACTGCAAGGACTGCTGTCGGACCACAGGGGGAGGGTGTGAGGGATGTCCCAGCCTGAGTCCCTATCTCATGGGCCCTGGCCCCGCCCCCAGGTTTTATCCACGAGGACCACCTTCGGGAGCTACTCACCACCATGGGAGACCGCTTCACAGATGAAGAAGTGGATGAGATGTACCGAGAGGCACCCATTGATAAGAAAGGCAACTTCAACTACGTGGAGTTTACCCGCATCCTCAAGCATGGGGCCAAGGACAAGGATGATTAGGCCACCCCAGCCCCCCAGCCCCAGGCCCCTGTTCCACTCTCCTGCTCCCCACACTCACTGTGCTCGTGACCCCACAGGATTTTCTCAGGGGATCCTCCCTCTGAGGGGCTAGGGGCCCAGCTCCCCTTGGAGGAACAGGCTGAGAGTGCACAGTGCCAGGCAAGGGGTGCAAAGCCAATGTGAGAAAGGTGTTCCACCGTGACCTCCCACCACCCCAAGAGAGGACTGTCTTCTCAGGAGCTTGGCCTCATGGCTGCTCACCACAGGACAGGCCCTGTGTCCTGTTGGACCCAAGTTCACGTGCACCCCCACACAGGGAATGACCACTCTTTCCCAGCCACTGCTACTGCCACAAAGCTCACCAAGGTCCCTTCTCAGGACAGGATGCCAGACCCCTCCTCTGTGCCCTGCCCAGCCACTCCACCAGGAGTATAATCCAGAAGACGCATGTAGGCTGGAAATTGGACCCAGGGGAGACAGAGTCTCCAATAGAAGTCTGAGCACTGCTTTGGGTCTGTGTGTCTGTTGCTGGGGTAAAATAGAGGAGCTCCTAGTCCCTAAAGAACCTCCTGCCCTCTCCTTTCCCTAGTGGCTGCCCAGACCCCTCCCCCACTCCCAGCTGGGGTAAGGCTCCCCTGAGACCAGACCAGGAGTGGGGACAGGGGCAGACATAAGTGCTGCAGAAAACAGTCCTCCTGGGAAAGAGAGGCCCAAGTGGGGAGGACCCTCAGGAATCACCACAGTGTATCTCTGTGGGGTGGTTCTGTGGCACCAGGAAGACCAGGGTCAGGTCACCCAGCCTTTAGGATTAGAGCCTGGATCTCCAGGGACACCTCAATGCTCCTGGAAAGCCAGGTGATCCTGGAAGAACAGGGAGGCTTTGGGAACAGGGAGGTGGGGGCCTCCCAGAAGCTCTGGCTAAAGGTGGGACCAGCTGAAGGTGGGAACGACAGGTTTAAGGGATTCCCTGAGATCAGCTCCAGGCAGCCACCATGTGTGGCCTGGGCTGTGCCCTCTGCCCCTGCAGGGTCAGTTCAACTACATGACCAGCTTTCACGCTGCACACAAGGTGGGCAGGGCTGGGATCTCTGTTACACACGAAGATGGGGACAATGACCACAGTGCCTGAGGCACAAGAGGAACAGAAATATTGGTTCAATGAACAGAAACAAGAGGGGCAGGGACTAGCTGAAGTCACCCAGTGGATCTGGGGCAGAGGGAGGGCTGGATCCCAGCCTCTAGATCCCCCACAGGGCTCGGACCTGGGCTACAAACATCCCACCAGAACCCAGCAAAGGTTGGGGAGCAGCTGCTGGGCCCGGTGCAATCCTGACGCCTTCCCTAAAGTCACCCATAGCCAGTCAACCACAGCACAAAGCAGAGGTCTGGGATCAGAACCAAGGGAGTGCTGAGCACTAAGTGGACTGTGTCTTGGACGAGGAGGGTTTAACTTCCACAAGCCTCTCCCCACATCAGCTCCAGGCCCTGGCCAGAAGCCCATGAAACACCCCCTCTCTTGCCTCCAGATGGAGCCCCACGAGTCCCTGATCTCCACTCCAGGTGAAGCCAGCCCCAAACGTATCCTGACCAGGCTCAAATACTGAGGCAGACTCAGTCTGACCATGCCCTCAACCCCTGCCCCAGATGGAGGGCCACTCACTGCAGCCAGTCCAAAGGGAGGGACCAGGGAGTACGGCAGACTCTGGGCGTCCTCTGAGGACCCCCCAGAGCGCTAGCCACATACGTTCCTTTTCTTTTTTTAAGATTTTATTTCTTAATTTGACAGAGATCACAAGGAGGCAGAGCAGCAGGCAGAGGGTGGAGGGAAGCAGGCTCCCTGCTGAGCAGAGAGCCCGACAGGGGGGCTGGATCCCAGGACCCTGAGATCATGACCTGAGCCAAAGGCATAGGCTTAAGCCACTGAGCTACCCAGGTGCCCCTACACATGTTCTGCATCAAGGTCACATGGCACTCTGCGGAGCCACTGTCACACCAAAAGCCTTTCTGTAAGATGGCAAGGACCAGGTTAGAAACAAGCCTCCTCACGTCCTGACCCCTCAGTCTGCAATAATGTCACAAGCCTACAGCCCCTTCACTCCAGGGAAAGGGAGAGATCCACACCCGCTGCAGGGGGACAGAACCTGGCGTAGGCCTGACTTGACACACAGGATGGGACGAGGGAAGTGTTCTGTGTATGGAAGGGCAGGACCAGCAGGTGGGAGTAATGTGCAGGAACGGGAGCAGAGCTCAGAGGAAGCGGCGCCAACAAAGTCTGGGAGCAGGAAGGCATACGGCACGTTCAGAAGACAGAAAGAAGGCAATTTTCTATCTGAGAGCTAATTTGTTACGATCCTAGCAGCTTTTCAGAAAAGCAGCAGCAGCTACTGTTTTCTCTCTCACAGGCAACATTTACAGGTAACAGTGAAACATGCCCAGAACTGTCAAAGTCTGCCACAAAACTCAGAAACCATAAAGGAAAGGACTGATGCATTTAAATCCATGAAGACTATCTCTTGGGGCACCTGGCTGGCTCAGCTGGTAGAGCGTGCAACTCTTAATCTCGGGGTTGTGAGTTCAAGCCCCGTGCTGGCTATGGAGATTACTTTAAAATAAAATCTTAAAAAAAAAAAAAATCCATGAAAAATTTTAAAAACCATAGGGAGGAGTGCCTGGGTGGCTCAGTTGGTTAAATGTCCTACTCTTGATCTCGGCTCAGGTTATGAGCTCAGAGTTGTGAGATCAAGCCCCATGTCAGGCTCCATGCCAGGTATGGAGCCTGCTTAAAATTCTCTCTCTGCCTCCCACCCCACTCACTCTCTCTCTGGAAAAAAGAAGAAGAAGAAGAAGAAAGGAGTACCTGGGTGGCTCAATTGGTTAAACCCCTGCCTTTGTCTCAGGTCATGATCCCAGGATCCAGGGATCGAGCCCCATATTGAGCTCCCTGCTCAGTGGAGAGTCCACTTCTCCCGCCCCCTGCTCCTATGCTGTCATTTGCACTTTCTCCCCTCAATCAATCAATCAATCAATCAGAGTAAATGGCCCTGAGTTGCCAGATATTATGAAAAAGAGGAGGATGGGCACCTGGATGGCTCAGTCATTAAGCATCTGCCTTCAGCTCAGGTTCTATTCCCAGGGTCCTGGGATCAAGGCCCATATCAGGCTCTCTGCTGCGCGGGAAACCTGCTTCTCTCTCTCCCACTCCCCTTCCTTGTGTTTCCTCTCTCACTGTCTCTCTCTCTGTGTCAAATAAATAAATAAAATCTTAAGAAAAAAGAAAAAAGGAAAGAAAAAAAAAAGAAGAGGAAAGTAAGATGTAACTGCTACAATTCAGGACTTACCGTGAAGCTATAGTAAACATAATGATGGTGTGACAGTGGAGAGCCAGGCTGACCCATGAAATAGAAGAGAGTCCAGGGACAGACCCATACATTTATGGCTCTTGTTTTTTTTTTTTTTTGGTTTTTTGTTTTTTGTTTTTTTTAAAGATTTTATTTATTTATTTGGCAGACAGAGATCACAAGCAGGCAGAGAGGCAGGCAGAGAGAGGAAGGGAAGCAGGCTCCCTGCTGAGCAGAGAGCCCAATATGGGGCTTGATCCCAAGACCCTGGGATCATGACCTGAGCCGAGGGCAGAGGCTTTAACCCACTGAGCCACCCAGGCACCCCATTTATGGCTCTTGTTATGACAAAGGTGGTATATCATAGGACAGTGGCGAGATGAGGGACTTAATAAATGAAGCTGACACCCACCAAAGTGGCCACAATGAACAAAACTCCCAATTCCAAGTACTGGTGGGAGAGGATAAGGAGCACCTAGAGTCCTCACACACTACAGACAGGAGTGTAAACAGGTACAATCGCTTCGGAAAACAAACTGGCATTATCTACTAAAGTGGAACTTTTATCTACCCCATGACTCAGCAATTTCGCTCTTAGGAACCTACACACCTAACAGAAACATGCACACATGATCACCGAAAAGCACCTGCAAGAAGGCTTGCAACAGCATCACTGTAATAGCCCCACCAGTGGAATGTACAAGGAAATGGAGATGAACTACAGCTACACGCATCAACATGGATAAACCTCACAAACATTATGTCAAAAAAAAAACCCAAAAACACAAAAGAATACCATTTGTATCAGGATGTGATCAGGGTCAGAAACCACACTTTATTTCAACAGGAATAATTTAATATAAATAACTGTTAACTAAGTATAAAGTTTTAATTAAGTAACTAAAAGGGTAGAAAGGGAACTCAAGGGGCGCGTGGGTGGCTCAGTCAGTTGAGCATCTGACTCTTGATTTCAACTCAGGTCATGATCTCAGGGTCGTGACATCAAGTCCAGCATTGGGCTTTGTGCTCAGTGCAGAATCTGCTCAAGATTCTCTCTCCCTCTCCCCTTACCCTTTCCATTTGTGTGTGTTCACTTTCTATAAAACAAATAAACGAATCTTTAAAAAAAAGAGAGAGAGAGAGAAAGAGAAGGCAAGAAATTTGAAAATCCACGGGTGGGATTTTTTTCGGGGAAGTACTAGAAATAAGCGAAAATGTAAAGAGTAATTCATATCAAGAAAGTGAAACTAGGGGCAGATGGCTGGCTTAGTTGCAAGAGCATGTGACTCTCTAGAATCCTGAGTTTGAGTCCCATGTGGAGTGTAGAGATTACTTTAAATAAATAAATAAACAAATAAATAAAAAGAAAAGAAAAAAAAGCGCAAATAAAACAAAATATTCGCAAATAATATCTGATTAGAAACCTCTATATAAAGAACCTTCACAACTCAATAATAAAAAGATAAACAACCTATTTAAAAATGGACAAAGGATAGGAACTGACATTTCTCCAAAGATAGGCAAACACAGATGTTCAACTCATTAGGCATTAAGGAAATTAATGGCTATAATAATAATAATTTTAAAAACCCAGAAAATAACAAGGTTGGGAAAGATGTAGAGAAATTAGAACCCTCACACACCATGGTTGGAAATGTAAAATGGTGCAGCCACCTCGGAAAAGAGTCCAGCAGATCCTCAAAAGTCTAAACAGTCACCATG